TGTCTCTTGCATTCATTTCCTGTCTGCCATTGAGCTCATTTGTTCCCAACCCCGGAAGACAAAATGGGCGCCTGTGTATATGTGCTGGCTGACACATTAGCCTCCCCGTGTACATTCAGTAGTCACAAGCTTACATGCGCCACGTGACATTGTCCCCGAGAGCGACTCTCGTCCGCCACTGAATTTTTCATCATTGATCTGATGTGATTTCCGTGCTCGGGCCGTCCCTCTGCCCTGTCAGCTCTCTCTCTATCACAGCCTTCTCTCGGCCTGGAGGGCCAACGGGGCGTGAGCCATCGCCCCCGCTTGCCTGTCTCCCACCATGCCCAGACAAAAAGCCTTCCCCGTATTCCACCCACCACCGAGGACTATCACACACACACACACACACACACACACACTGGCCTGTGCGCTTTGTAGCCGCGAGCACACTAGACCTTTGGATAAGAGGGTGGTAAAGCGCTCGATGTATTGACGTCGACTGTCCGCAGCCATAAAGCTCCATCAACCCCCCTCCTCTCCTTCCTTGTCGAAGCAGCAGGAGTAGCGGTGGCTCGGTGTGTGTGTGTGTGTGTGTGTGTGTGTGTGTTTGGGGTGGAGGGTTGATGTATGACGGTGTGGGAGGCAGAGTCAGTACCTCTCGGTTTCTGCTCTGCCTCCTCCGGTGGACGCTTTCGTAAAAAAAAAAAAACATCCTAATATCTGGCCGCAGCTCGGTGAGCGATGGCCAGAGCCAACCTGCTGATCTTAGCACTCGGTGCATTAGTTTGCCATAAAGAAGCAGTGATTGTGAGACATGGCAGGGCGAAAACATATGAGGATGAATGGCACCATATAAAAGCCAGGCTCTGTTTCAAAATCCATTAGAGAAGCAAGTGCCTCGGCTCTGAACGCCTGCAAAAAGCCGGCGTCCAATCGAGGCATGGATCACAGATCGCTCCCGCAGTTCCGTCCCTGAACTGTCCATTTAATCAAACAATTTTTAATCAATGCATTAGTACATGACAGCTTTGAGGGGGGAAAAAGCATACTTCACTCGGAGCCTGATATCGGCATCCAAAGATAGGTGGGAGATGAATGCGGCTCATTTGGTGCTGAAGTGCGTTTTCTCCCGTGTGTGTGTGTGTGTGTGTGTGTGTGTGTGTGTGTGTGTGTGTGTGTACAGGCACGTTTTCTTCTAGTTGATATGAGTGCAGGCATGTGTGGTGTTCCATGAAAGCTGACCCCCCCCACCACCACCACGCACTCACACCCCACCCCCGCCGCACACACCTCCCTGTGGCACTGCCTCCTAATTACTCAGATCTGCGTTCAAAGTGAAGAAATAATGAAGGAGAGCTTTAATTATGCCTCCAGACAAAGGATCCCCGATGCCTCCACAACACAACGCTTGGCACGCCGAGATGGGTGAAGGCAGGTTAAACAGGAACCCCGTCCTCTGGGTGCACAGAAGCTGGTCAGCCTTGAATACAGACCGAGCCTGCAACCTGACGTGATGCCCGAGAACGCGGGGGAGGAGGGACGTCTGTAAAATGGACCCCCTGATTTAAAAAAAAAAAGATGAGCAACGTAGGTTTGTTATCTCTAACAGATATGACACAACCTTTAATTAGTGGGGATCCCTGAAGCTCTGGGCCTGAGATATAATCAGCGGACCTTTAGCGAGAGCACAACCCTCCCCTCTCTGAGTGCCCGCGGGGCCGGCTGATCGAGGCGTCCTCGTGCCCCCTCTTCTGCAGCGGGGTTGGCTGGCACTCTGGAGATGCCAGATAATGAGGAAGCCTGTCAGAGGAGCACTTCAAGGGTGCCCCTCCAAAGGCCTCGCCGCGTCTCAACACAACCCACCAGCACCAACACTGCCGCTTTGTTTTCTTCAGAGTGCGTCTCCAGAGGTCTCGGTTGTGTGTCCGGTGGGGTGGTGTAGCTCCCCCCCCCCCCCCGTCGGACTCCACAATCTCCTCCATAACTCGACTGATCACATCAGTGGCTCAGATGGACTAATTATCCTCCACACTGTGACCGATGGAGAATATGTCAGAGTTCCATATGAACTTCCACTCAAAGTTTGTCTCTGTGCATAAGTCTGTGCATAACCTTCATTGCGATACACGCGTTGTGCCCACGTGTCCGAGTGCAGAGTGCCACGTGACAAAGTGCATTTACTCAGCTACTTCTTGAGGGACTCGGCCTTACTTGAGGATTTCTCACGTTTGTTACTTCCTATTTCTATTCCGTTGCATTTCAGAAGCTCTGTACTTATCTGACCGTTGTAGTTACTAATTACTTGATATTAGGGCCATCACTGCCAGTGAGGACACTGAGTTTAGCAACCTGGGGGTACTTTACATTAGAATATTTTTTAAAAAATAACACACATTTGGGCATTTCATCGACTGATTTAAGTCATTTTATACTCGATGTATTTCAATTTCGAAACTTTTGGGAAATAAGTACATTTGAAAGTGATACATTCTGTATGGAAACAGGCTTTGGGAGGTAAAAGTCACGGAAAATGTCAGGTTGCAGATTGCAACCAAGTGAAACTTCTCCCATGTGTGTAGGATAATTATGGCGGTCGACACGAATGTCAGAGCCGATGTTTGGTTTGTCCGTTCTGGGCTACCGTAGAAACATGGCGGTGCAACATGGCGAGCTCGCTCTGTTTGTAGATATAAACGGCTCATTCTAAGGTAACAAGGTGATTGTACACTAAAGAAAACATACTCATTAATAATATATTCCATTCCCGTCAATAGATCCCCCTAAATGCTACACTGGCCCTTTAAAAATAGGCTAATAATCAATGAGAGAAAGATGATAAAACAGGGCAGAAATGTCAATAAAAACAGAAACATTCAGCTGTCAGTTATGATTTGATGTTTGAGGCAAACTGTGAGAAACTCAAAGTGTCCAATGGAACATGATTTGTGTTTCACTTCTGATACTTAACTACATTTCACACAGAAGAAGAAATGTTTGGATGCGGCCCTTTTGCACTAATGGATTATTTTACACTGCTACTCCTACTTAAGTAGAGGATCTGGGTACTTCTTCCTCCACTGTCACAGTGATGGGAGTTAAGGGAAATAAACAGTCATCTCTTATGAAGATTAGTGCGAGTGGGCCGTATTGATCAGCGGTCATACGATAAACAGTGGAGAACAGGAATGCTCCGCCAATCGTTTGGGCCCCATTAGTCTCCGCTTGTATCGCCTTTGATTATTGCTGACTGAGCTCCCAGTGCATGTGATGGCTTTTTACTGCTAGAACTGCTGCTTTCAACCTTTTTCTTCTTGAGGAGCACATTTAAATAACACCGGCTCCATAGACAAACCACTCCATATCTTCTGTCATGCCCGATGCTGGTGTCTCGTACACAAAGACGGATGTTGGTGGATGTTTCTGCGAGGAGATTAAAACCGGATTTAAAAATCCTGTGATGCCTCAAATCAGCTGAATCTCACGAGTCGGGGACTCAACACAAAACGTGTGCACAATTGCACAAATCCACAAACATGCAGACTCGGTAAATCCTCGGAGGGTAAATCCTGCTCTATAACGGGCGGGCAACACTGGCTCAGGAGACAGAGACAGAGACAGACATGACAGAGTTGACAGTGCCGGCGATGATGATGGTGATTGTGGTAATAATGATTATGCTGATTATTACGGGGCTGCCACAGCGATGTGGTGATTGCGCCTCCAGGAAGGAATAGAGGAAGACAAAGGGCGACAGTGACAAAAATTGATGAGGATGATAATGACTGAGATCACTTGTTTTTTCTTTTTCTCTTAGTGATCAACTTTGAGCCATTCGCAGCAGTTGTTGATCTTTCTGTAATTGGCAGAACAGCCGTGTGAGGAGTTAACTGAGGATATCTCACTGCTGCGTTTGAGGGCTTTGATTTCACATGACAAAAAGAAAAGGCACTGCTGAGAACATTCCAGCAACTCCCTTTGAAGGAAGTGATCTGGCAGTGCTCATTTGAATTATTAACTGGGTGAGACAGACAGACAGACAGAGCGAAAGAAAAAGGAGTAGCGAGAGACAGAAACACACAGGGAGATGGATTCCTGTCTTTAGCAGGCAACGGAAACCGCTCAGCATAAGCCACGTCACATATCTGCGATGACTGATCTTTGCATCAAACAATCAGGACAATTATCCAGCAGTGAGGCCGCACACTGGTAATAAAGCTGTCTGCTAATGGAGGTGAGGATTTGTTTGAGTTACTGGTGTTTCATCAGACACTTTCTTTCAGCTGACTTCATGAAATACAAGTATGAATGTGTAATTAGGGGTCAGCCGTCCCCCTGCTGCCTGCTTGGAATTGTTTAATCTGCAGAGGGAGCGTCCCGGAGTGCGTTAATTCTTCTCTGTGGTCGTGTTGCGTCTCCCACAGCAGGACCCTATTATTACTGTCAGAGTGGCCAAAGCACAAAAACGTAGAAGGTGACACTTCAGGTAATGTACTTGAGGAGGGAAATGTCTCAGTAACCCTGACAACATGCGTGTCCGTCCCGTCTACGTCATGTTCAGTGGAGACATGTGAGCTGTGGTCGCGCTTGCTGGGAGCCGTTCCTACGTTTCACGTCAGTGAAGGAAAGAAGAGCGTTTAAGAGTTGTTGCTTACTGTGAGGCTGAAGATGCCAAACCGGTGGCCGGTGAAACGCGTCGGCATTGTACGTTTCTGTAAATAAAGGATGCGATGTTTGCATTCAGTGAGAGCAAAACCAAAAGTAAATGTTGACTTTCTGTTTGTAACTTAACACCTTCACGCTAAGAGCGGTTGTTATAGATTGACGGTAGTTACGTCTTTCCGTTGTTCTGTTATGTGTTACCTTGCGTTGTTTTGTTACGTAGTTTCGTTACGTTGTTCCTTCTGTTGCGTCGTTAAGTTACGTCGTTGTGTTAATTTGTTACATTGTTAAGTTACATTGTTAGGTTACGTTATTACGTTGTTTTGTTACGTTGTTAGGTTGTTATGTTGTTACATTGTTACACTGTTACGTTGTTTTGTTACGTTGTTACATTTTTACGCTATTATGTTATTACTCTAACAAAAAAACATGATATTTTTCTCACCTTAAGCAAACCTAACCAATCGTTTCACACTGGTAATACGGGGCTGATATGAAACATATTCATGAAATGTGAAAACACTCAAAATGCATACAACCGTAGTGAACAGCAGCCCTAACATGTTTCTGAACTACCCCCATTTCCAGAAGCACATTCAAGCATTAAGTTGATTTCCAACAACCCGTACAGCTGCGTCAATCTAATCCAAGCTTGTCGCCTTTTTTGAGGCAGTTTTTCTGTTGCCATTATTCTGGCTCTGGCACAGGAAGATAACATCCCTCTTCTTAATCCTGCCTAAAGAGCTCTGATTGTCTTAGTTGTTTTTCCAACCGGGGAAACAGCCATCAACGAGCACAACACTAGACCTTCTTGAATCGCTGGAGAATAAAAAATATATATAAATAAGCCACCCGTAAAGATAGAAATCATCTTGTAAGGACCAAGTTGGATCTTTTGAGTCTCGATCCCTCTGCATCCGTCCCTTTAATTCCTCCGGGCGCTCCGTGGTGGCATGTGATAGCATCACGCTGGAGGATCTAAAGATACAGGACATTGTATTTTGTAGAGATTGCAAAGCCCTTAAAGGCAAATTTGTGACTTTGGGCTTTATAAATATAAATTGACTTGACTTGATTGTATTAAGAGGAATCATAAGATCAAGAGGAACCACACCTTGGCGTACGCTGGCCGTGGCCCATGTTCCACCAATCTCTGCTGAGACATCAAGGTTTTGAAGCTTGGGTTGTGTTGGATGAGATTAGAGGTAGATTTCCCTGCGTTTCCTACATCTTTAAGGTAATGGGCGTCTGGCGCCTATGATGTAACGAATCCATCTTGTGCATTCTCTTTGTCCGCTTCTTTTACAGCGGCATTAAACAGAATTAATGGAGAGAAAAAAAAGATACATTAAAAAGGAAGCCCTGAGTTGTTTAGCGTGTGTACTGTTTAGCGTGCGCCCGACAGTGCATGCATGGCTGGGTGCGTATTAACAGCTCAGTAGAAGCACGGTCAGATGAAGAAGGATGTCACATAATAACTGCCTGCTTTTGTTTCAGTGCATTTTCCTCCGGCTTCTCAGATATGTATGTCTGTTGTACATGCTGTACAGTATGTGTCCTTGAGCAGGCACACGGGAGAGGGAGGTGGTGCCGGCCACCGAGGATGGGCTATGTGTGTGTGTGTGTGTTTATGTGTGTGTTTGCGGTGTGGGGGGGCCGCAATTAAAAGGAAGCATGCAGTGTCCCATGAGGTGCTAATGCCCAGGATCAGCTGTTCTAATGTCATTCACATCCCTTCCGTTTGATGTATGAATCCATCGGGGACTTCATCAGTAACCCCTCCCTCACTGCTACCACCACCACTTTTATAACCCCACCCTAACCTACCCAACCCCCTGTCGGCTCTACAACCCCTCCTCCTCCTCACCCCCCTCCTCCTCCTCCTCGGCTTGCACAGAACCTCCCCTTCTGTGTCTGAATGCTTATGTTGGCTTTTATCGCGCTCAAAGTAAACAGAGTCGCGTCAGGGATAGTGAGAGAGAGAGAGAGAGAGAGAGAGGGGGGGGGAGAGAGAGAGTCCTATAGAGAGAGAGAGAGAGAGAGAGAGAGTGCAACAGTGATAAAGGTGGAACATGCACATTGTCTGCGCGCCGCTCGCCTCCCCGCTTCATCTTCAATAGAGACACAAAAGCCAGCAAAAGGGAAATTTAAAAGGCGAAGAGGAGGCAGAAGAAAAGGAGGTGATCCGAAGAGAGAGAGAGAGAGAGAGAGAGAGAGAGAGAGAGAGTGAGAGTGAGAGTGTAGAGCGGAAGGATCTCCCTGCTAAATGCGCAAAGCGTCCCGTCACCCCACGCTGAGCTCCATGGCCAACTCCGGCTGCCTGCTGCTCTCCGGCTCCGGGATGCTACCACACTCGCTCCAGTGTCCCCCTGCCTTCCTCTACCTGCCCGAGGTAAGACTGAACGGAGCTCGCTTATGTCGCGCGCTCTCTCTCTCTCTCTCTCTCTCTCTCTCTCTCTCTCTCCCCCTTCTCTCTCGCTCTCTCTCTCCTCTCCGCCTTCCATTCCATTCCTCCGTGCGCTCCGCGGCGGCACGTGATAGCATCGCGCGCTCGCTTTTGTGTGTCGTTACCTTCTGCGCACTTTCACCCACCTCACCCTTGACCCTCACCCTGGCTTTGTGGGAGAAAAAAATAAAGGGGGGGGTCGCTTCTTTAATTTGATCCTCTCGACCATCCTGTTCTTCATTCCCTCCCCCACTCTTCCTCCCCCTCCTCCCTTCTTTTGAGCGTAATAAAGCAGTGAATTAGCGGTTGCTGTGACGCTGTGTGTGTGTACATGCAGCCGCCTCATGACTCATTGTGCTCGGATGTGTTTGGGTTCGTTGCTGCTGCTGCTTCCCGTCGCCTGTCTCTGCAGAGATGAGACAACTTCTTCTTCTTCACTTTTTTTAAGGATGTCAACTCTGTCTGTTAAGAATTATGTAGAAACCTTAATTTATCCGCATGTGTGTCCTATACATTGTGAATATGTCACTTAATCTAACCCCCAAACTGGATCTGCTCAACATTTTTAAGAAAAAGAAACAAATTTAATCTGATTACAAAGAAAATGATACGTTATTTTTAACCCCTAAAATCTGTAAATTGGGGCTGCGAGGCCTCCTGTATTAACAATGTTATTACACTGCTGGTATTTAAATGTTAAGAAATATATCTGTAAGTCCTGTGCATTTTAGTTTTATTATGTGAAAACAAATAGAAAAGTGTTTGTGAATTATTGAAGGAGGACTTTTTTTTTCCTCATCGCTGTGATTTTAAGGATGTTGTACGTTGTAAAGTCTCGCTGCTACAGACAGAATAAAACACACAGATTCACTCAGACTCGTAAAATCGCACTAAAACTTCTTTCAAAACGTCTCGATTCATCGCAAAGGCCACAGCGAGCTCTTCAATCTCTCCCACACCCCTTCATTTTTCTAATGGCGATCACCGGCGGGTGACAACACTCTGAATAATTATATATCTCTGCAAATTAACATTGATTTTCCTCCTTTTTTTTGTTTTGGTCCTCCTCCTTTGGAAATTGATTCTGTCACTGATCCTCTTGTTTTGTGAAACCTGAAGACTGCAATTTTCTGAAGGGAGGTGAAAAAAAATCAACAACAAGGTGACTCTTAAGAGCCCGTGTGCCTGTCTGTCTGCTGAATTATTCACATGATTTAATTCAGCCAGTTGGGGACGGGGAGTGCTGTTACTGATGGGAGGATGAAGGGGGGGGGGGGGGGGGGGGGCGCGCAATTCAGGTTTTACTACCAGCTGCATCTGTAGCAGTAAACTGTGTGTGTTCCTGATTGAGGGGAAATAACGGTGAGGCTGCTCGCAGTGGAAACATTCTCATTTTGAGTCTTCCTCCTCCCCCTTTCTCCCCCACCATCATGGTAATGGACCTCACCCCCTCCCACCCATCTGTCCAAAGCGGGCACACCCCGCCGGCCAGCCAGGGATGGGATGAGATGGGATGGGATGGGGGGGAGGTAGGCAGGCCGGCAGGCATGTGGACAACCAGGTGCCACCAAAACACACAGTGAAGAGGAGCCCAGGCCTCCTCGTATTCGTTCAGATTATTATAAAAGGGAATCTTTATTTAGGCTCAGTGTGTGAAGCTTGGTGATCTGCCTTTTAATCCTAACAATTCAAACTAACGGTTCTTGTTTTCCTTCAAGCACCTCCAACTTCATGTTTCTAACGTTTAATTTTATTTTGATGACGACTATATTTTACATCTTTTACAAAAAAGAAGAGAAAGCTTCCCGAGCTCCTCTCCTCAAGTCCAAATGTTAGCAAACATGAGTTTAGGTGGGTTTACCTTCCACTACATCCCCTTTACATCCAAATCCTCAGAATGGCCGGTAAGCCTCTTGTGTGTGTGTGTGTGTGTGTGTGTGTGTGTGTGTGTGTGTGTGTGT